ATCGGTTTAGCATATCGAAGTAGGAATTATTACCTATTAGAGTAAAGTGAGGACCAATTGTACCATAGTAGAGCATATGAGTGTGATCCGTATGATTTGGGGCATTAATGACATCATTTTGAAGACACAGAAGTAGGTATATCTAACAGTGCTTATTTCTACCCACACCATGCTTTCATCTGTCATATGCGTTATATTTCTGAATAAAAATGGTTGTTTATTGTTCTAGATTCTCTCCAGATTAGTATAAGTTTGTTATCTGGCTGCAAGGAGAAATAGGATTCATTTATAAGAAAAAAAAGAATATAGCCCTATATGCGGTAGTTCACTGGGCCACCTCTCGGAGCTTTTGCAAACGAGTTGTTTTGTGCTTTGCGTTGAGCTTTAACGCACCTCATTAGGTGTCTGGTATACAGACCGGCCTTATGAATTCTGCTTTTAGCTATTTCAACACAGACTCTCGTTGCGGCTGTGAACAATTGATCCAGTTTTAGAGTAAGGACCCTAAGATTCTGGTGAGCCAGTTTCGGTAGACATTGGTCGTTTGTTTGCTTTGTAGATGATGGCTTGCCATATTCAGGTATATATAAGCAATCGGCTAGGATGCAGTTTCACATCTGTTAAATAACACTTTGGGACACTTCTATTCAATTTGCAACAGCCGGTGTGAGAGATGGACTTCCATTCATCTGATGACATTAAGGAAATTAAGGAAACATCCAGATATCTTCTGTGAGGTCTAAACATGGCTTATGCACATTAAAAGTGAAACAAAAACGAAAAAAACGGCGTTTTTAGCCCATTGAAACATGAAGTCTTTATTACTTTGTGAAGCCCTGATAATGATAATTATGTTACCGAAACTAGTCAGTTGAAAAATTAATAAAGACTTTCGTTATGCCAAAACAAACACAAAAAATGTCCTTTTTGTTTTTACTTTTAATATAAATTAGTACAATGTGCCCTAAAATAAATTATGGTTTATAAATAATTGGAAGCATCATAAACTGTAATTCACTACAAAGTACAAATAGAACAAGAGCGTGTGGGAATACTATATATTGCATACACAGAATGACAAAGAATTTTCATCTTAGATGACGTGACTGATAATAACGTGCCTGATTTGAGTGGCGTCATTGACATTATTTGACAAGTGTTTTTCTCTGGTCATAACTATAATATTAGGAATTCGGATTTCTCCTTTTTTATATATAACATGGAAATATCCCTATTTGTTTAAATCATAACTTGAGTATGCTTATCCTCATTTGGAAAGACTACTGAAAAACTGAAAGTATTTAAATATATTTACGTAGTACTAAAGATTAACATTTTCCATATCACTGACAGAAGCAAGCAAGTGTTTCAATATTTATTGTTGCTGATGTCACAGTACCTTCTTTGGTTTTTGTTACTTTTATAACTTTTTACGAACGTCAAAAATGTCAGCTAAGAAATAAACTACCAGACAAAAGTGAATGTATTGTTCCCCATCATTTTTGCCAATTTTTTATTTTTCAGCAAGGAGTTTTTTTTTCTAGCTATAATTTTAACTTTACCAGAAAGCAGAATACAGAAAAATGATCTTGTTTTAAGGTGTGTTTTTAATCTTAGATAAAAAGTAGTGTTACATCTATTAGATCTGCCTGATGCTTTAAAATAAGAAAGATGGAATTTCAGCCTTGAGATAAAAAAACTGTCTAAAGTCAAACTAGTTAGATGCAGTCATTAAAGATTCGATTCTAGTATAGTGATTAATTTAATATATTATGAATCATAATGCATTTTAGCGATTTGGAAATATTTTCATATTTTATGTCGTTTTTCTTAGAGTTGTTCTTCTTGCCGTGTGTTTATTTACTCTTGTCTCCACGACCATTGACATTTTCCTAAGAAAAATGAAAGGAAAGACGGAGCTCATTCGTATCGTTTCCAAACGTAGGTAGATTGTTTTCTTATAACTACTTCAATCTGGCAAGAACAGTAAAAATTATAGTAACAACAAAAAAAGAAAAGAAAAAATATTCTGAGAATCAATCGATTAAAAAACAAACAAGTTCTCAAACTAGTGGCGTAACTATAAAAGACGCCCTTCCCCCACATTAAAAGTAATTGGGCCCCCTACATTTACTTCCCTATAATTGTAATTGCGGTTCTAGCTGATTGGTATCACTAAGTTAAAAGAATAGAGCAACCGCCCTTTAGTTCAAACAAATTAAGTTCTATGTTTTTCCTCTTGTCGCCAATTCTTAAGTTTGTCAGGCCCTCCTTGCGGAGGCATATGTAGAGTACTGTCTCGAACTGACTAAAGAACACTTAAAAAGCTAACAAAACTTAATTGAAATTTTGAAAAGCTGCAAGTGTAAAAGGCATTTGCAAAATTTTTATGCTTCACTTGCGCATACCAACGTTTTTAACAAGACGTTTAAGATAAAGTATTTTTAGTTCAACCTAGAAACGAGGGCAACATTATTTCTTCATGCCTCACATGTGTATACCAACGTTTTTAATAAGATGTTTAAGAGAAAGAATTTTTAGTTCAACCTAGAGCCGAGGGCAACATTATTTCTTAATGTAAAAAAAAGAAAGAAAAATACACACATTATATTACTAAAAATACTTGGACGGCATAACTTTAGAAACAAGTGTAATATTTCGCAGCTAAGACCTTATTTTCAAAAGGACCTAGAGGTCAAACTCATGCTTCGCGCACAAAACATTTTATTTTTTGTTGGTTGTCTGATTTTATACCTTAATGCACAAAGTTTTTTGTTCAACCTAGAGCCGAGGGCAACATTATTTCTTAATGTTAAAAGAAAAGAAAAATACACCCATTATATTACTAAAAATACTTGGACGGCATAACTTTAGAAAGAAGTGTAATATTTCGCAGTTAAGACCTTATTTTCAAAAGGACCTAGAGGTCAAACTCATGCTTCGCGCACAAAATATTTGTTTTTGATTGTCTGATTTTATACCTTAATGCACAAAGTTTATAAAACGTAAAGGCAATGCTATGTATTCAAAGTAATTAAAACAGTTAAGTGATCCACTTAGATTGCTCACGTAAAAAGTTAGGTACGTAGAGCTCTGAACGAATATGATGGCCGTGTGGATAGTTTCAATGATTTCGAAGTTAAACCTATTTCATACCTTTAATAAAAAAGACATCTCGATCAAAATGGTGTGGCCCAAAGGACAAACTAATCGACTTATCTAGTAAGTGATTTTTGTTTTGTTTTTAATTTCGCGGAAAGTTATACGAGGGCTATCTGCGCTGGCCGTCCCTAACTTAGTAGTGAAAGACTAGAGGGAAGGCAACTAATCATCTCTACCAACCATCACCTCTTGGGCTGCTCTTTTACTACTGGACGCCCCTAATTTAGTAGTGGAAGATTAGAGGGAAGGCAGCTAATCTTCTCTACCCACCATCACCTCTTGGGCTACTCTTTTACTACTGGACGCCCCTAATTTAGTAGTGGAAGATTAGAGGGAAGGCAGCTAATCTTCTCTACCCACCATCACCTCTTGGGCTACTCTTTTACTAACGATTAGTGGAATTGACCGTCATATTATAACGCCCCCACTTCGCCATACCGAGCCTATCAAGTAAGAGTCATCAGACCTAGAGAGGTTTTCAAAACCTGGATATCGAGAGCAAGTGTTAAAACTCAAAAGGGTGACATTACTGGTACTCTGAATGTATATAAATAAACTAAAAAAGTCACACACAACACCTTAACACACAAACACTGCTGTATGAGACGGGGTTCTGAGGATTGACAATTCCATTCCTTATGCAATGCATAGCACTATTTACCCCCCCCCCTACTCCTAATTTCATTTTTACATAGTTTAAAGAAGTTAAAAGCCTCCCACGCACGCATAAACATTACTATTTTAGTTATATAGATAGGTCTAAATTTAGGGTTAATCACAACTTGAACTCTGTTATTGATACTTATCACCAATAGCTGACACATGTCAAGTCTCGGCTCCATCGGGATCTGCGAGGGTGTCATCATCATCATCTTCTTCATCGGGATTCGGTCCATGTTTTGGACCAGGGAGAGTCAGGTTCAGCGTAGACCTCTTCCTCCCTCTCTGGAATTGTTATTTTGTTTGCAGTGTTACTGAATCTTAAGTAATAACCCTTGTTACGTTGTTGTTGCATTACTCACAGTACGTTATATTTTGTCCATTGTCCGCAGTTTTAATCAACATATCATGCCATGTCCAATTCATGGGGTAATAGTAACTTTATTTTCACTAGCTTCACTTATGTATTAGTCCGTATTAACAATACAGTTCCACTTAGCAGTCATATATACATCTGGAAAAAAGTTAAGCACCCCGAAATATTTTTCAGGATTGCTTATTGAAAATAAGGTTTAATTTTCATGATGTTGAGCAATGTTCATAATTTTAAACATAATTAAAAGGGTGTGAGCGTTCAGGTGTGACATTTAAA